CATGTGCTGCTGGGGGATTGAACCGCGGTCCCTGTGCTTTGCTAAGCTTGTTCTAAGTAGGTGCTTTAGACCACTGAGCCATCTCACCAGCCCCTGTATCATGGGTTTGATTAATGTTAGGGTTCCTAACTTGAGTATCCAAGTTTTTGTCAGAGACCTGCAAGTGACAAGAGGATTTTTTAATTCTACATTTTCATTTCAAAAGCAATATTTTACATCATGTAACTCAGTTGTGTCCCAAATTTTCTGATCAAGGAGATTATAGGGCCACAGAGGAACGTGACCAATGATGTAGAGTGTGTGTAAGGAGAGTCACAAGGAGAGAAAACATTTTCTCAGGCTTTCACAGACAGCAAATTGGCCAAGCAGTGGCCGTGACTCATCCACATGGCTGACACCAACAAAAGATCTACAAACTGAGGTACAGGGTCTCAGGATAAATCCTGACGGGATTTGACTGACCTTATCAGATACAAAAGCTACAAAAAAGTCTTATTACATAGGTCTTGCTTTATCTTGGTCTTAACCATCCAGCAGAAAAGTATAAAAATAAAGTATAAGAAGTAAAGCCATGTTGTTATGTTGAGCTGTAGGGGACTCAGGTCAACAACTTCTGACATTGCCAGTCATGCAGAAGACCCAATACTATTATGTACTACTGGACTATTTTGGAATATTTTGCTGAGTTCACACACCTATAATATTTAAATGATGGAACTAAACAAAAAAAGGGGATACAGATGAATGACCATTTTTGTATCTGTATTCAAAATGGTTAGGATAGATATATAGCTACATTCTCTTAATTCAAGGAATAGAGGGATTTGTTCTAATAGTGTTTGTAAATAGGCTATCATGTCTGCATCTTGTACAACAAATAACCACTAGGAAGACAGTATACAATGTGTTAATTATTGAAACTGTCCTACCAATTTGATTTGAAACTGTCTCATTGCTATTTCTCAATAAAATTATGAAAAAAAAAGAAATGGATATATAGTGAATGAAGCATCTCTAGGCTACAACAAATTTTTTAAAACTAACATGAGTTACTATGGTTTGAAAAGTGAACATAAATTCAATTAACAAAAGCAATGTAATTAATAAAAGCTTTTACAAAGCTGCAAAAAAAGCAATATTTTACCCATTCCATAGGTGCAACTCCTATAATGATCATTTGTACTTAAAATTTACTAGATTAAGACAGATTTTAGGGGGAGGGTTGTTGGGTTTTTTTGGTTCAAGGTCTCACTACACAGATCCAACTCATAGTGATCCTCCTGTTTTCAGCCTCCCAAACTCTGGGATTACAGGTGTGTGCCACCACGCCCAGTCTCAATCCCTGTTTCAGCACCCCCCAAGGGTGGGACCGGCACAGCATGCCAGGGATCAAACCCCAGACTCTGAGTCTGCCTAAGCAGGTGCTTTAATTGGCTGAGCTATGGGGCCGGCCCTAACAATTCTTCTTTATAATTTTTCTATTGATACCGATATCCAACCCCATGCTTGGAAGGTCCAACTTTGAAATGTTCTGTTCCTCCTCTGGGTCTAATCAATTATTCTGCATTGTTTAAGTGAATTCACTTGCTTAAGTGAATTTTTCCTAAATGAACTGTTAATTTCAGAACAGTCATATAGAAAAAATTGTAGAGTCGCATTTAACCCTAGCCCAGTTTCTCCTATTATTAATACACTACTGTGGTGAATTTGTCATAACTAATGAATGAATACTGATACATAATTACTAACTAAAGCCATACTTCATTCAGATTTTCTTAGTTTTTTGATTTTTAGGGTTTTCTTTGTATTTTAGGGAAGGGTCTACAGGGTGTTCAGGGTCTCACTACTAGATCAGACTAGCACCTGTTTACAGCCTCCCAAGAGCTGGGATTACAGGCACACACCACCACGCCCAGTCTCAGATTTTCTTAGTTTTTACCTAATTTTTTTTGTTCTAGAATCCTATAAAGGATACTTGCATTGAGTCACTCTATCTCTCTTTTTTTTTTTTTTAATTTATTTATTTGTGTGTGTGTATGTGTGGCCAGCTCAGCCCACCAGGGGGTGGGGCTGGCTGGCATGTGGTGCTGGGGGATTGAACCACAGTCCCTGTGCTTTGCGAAGCTTGTTCTAAGTAGGTGCTTTAGACCACTGAGCCATCTCACCAGCCCACCCTATCTCTTTAGATTCCTTATGGTGTGACAGTTTATCAGACTTGCCCTATTTGTGATGATTTTGACAGTTTTGAAGAATACTTATAGGGACTGGGGAGATGGCTCAGTAGAATAAGTGCTTCCCTGGCAAAGGCAAGAGCCTGAGTTCAATCCCTGGTTCCACCAAAAAAAAAAAAAAAAAAAAAAAAAAAAAAAAAAAAAAGAATACTTATGTGGTATTTTGTAGAATGGCCCTTGTTTGGGATTTGTCTGTCTTTCTCATGATTAGACTGGGATTATGAGTTTTGCAGGGGAAGACACAAAAGGTCAGCACCAGCTTCACACATCAGTTACCTACCGTGACTGTGCCCTAAGACAGCTTGTGATAACTTTGGTGTCCTTGCTGGGGAGCTTTGTCAGGCCTCTCCACCTTCTATATTCTGTATCTGTTGAGACAAGCGACTCACTGCAGTCCACAATCGAGGGGTGAGGATTCACTCACCCTCTGCATTGAGGATGGGTTGTCAGCATAAATTATTAGGATTTTTCTGCATGGAATATTTACCTATTCCCTACCACTTATTGATTCCATAGTTTGTTTATATCAGTATGGGTCACTCATACATATATCACATACATAATGCACATGTATATGGATCTCATATATAAATATATATGGTGCATATATAACACTTTGGGTTTCAGTTGTATGCTAAATATATAAAAATGTTTACTTGGGGCTGGTGAGATGGCTCAGTGGTCTAAAGCACCTACTTAGAACAAGTTTAGCAAAGCACAGGGACCGCGGTTCAATCCCCCAGCACCACATGCCAGCCAGCCCCGCCCCCTGGTGGGCTGAGCTGGCCACACACACACACACACACACACATACACACACACACACACACAAATAAATAAATAAAATTTTTTAAAAAATAAAATAAAAATGTCTACTTGTTCAGATTGTTTAGCCGTGTACTCCTTTTTCTTTTTCACACATTTCTGTAATTGTGTTTTCCCTTGTTTTTGAGCACTTCCTTATTTTCTGGCACTGTGAGATTCCCCAAGCTCATCTTATGTATTTTATTTTATTTTTTACTTATTTTATTTATTTATTTATTTTATGGAACCAGGGATTGAACTTAAGCCCTTGTGCTTGCCAGGGAAGTGCTTATTCTACTAGCCATCTCCCTGGCCCTGATGTATTTTAAATACCTGTTTTCATGGTGGATGTGTCTATTAAAATTAAATAGTATTTCATAGCTCAGGACCCAGAACAGATAGCCCATTTGGGCAAGATAAAAATAAATGTTAGGGTGTGGGGAGATAGCTCAACAGCACAACACCTGCCTGGCCAGTGCAAGGTCCTGAGTTTTATTCCTGGTACCAAAAAAAATAAATAAATAAAAAATGACATGACTATTCTTGAATAAATATGAATTTCTGTAAGAAATAAATGTATTTTTGAACATGAATAAATACAGATTGTTGCACATAAATATAGATTACTATATATTAAAAAATAAGACATCTACTGAAAATATTTTTTTAAAAAAATAAATGTTAAATAAAAATTTCTCAGGCCAGGGAGACAGCTCAGTAGAATAAGCGCTTGCTTGGCAAGCACAGGGTCATGAGCTCAATCCCCGGTACTGCAAAAAATGAATAAATTTAAAAAAATAAAAATTTCTCAGAGCACCTGCTTCCCTTCCTCTAATTTTTAGCTTTACTGGAACAATAAACTAAGGCCAGCGCCCTCAGCATTTCATTCTGCTTCTTTCTCTGCGTACCACCCTCTTGTCAGTCTGGCTGTCTTTCAGACCTTCTCCACCTTCCTACTGACGGCGCCCATCTCA